ATGATGAAGGAGAAGATAACATAATTGAAACAAGTGATGATGAAAATATTTCTTTAAACTCTAATATAGATTCAATTTTAAATAATCATTTAAAATTTTAGGAGCTAAATAATGAATGTCTTTTTTTTTTTGTATTTTATTATTATTATTATATAGTTAATTTTATTTATTATTCATTTTTCTTAACATTAAATATTGTTAACGGTAAAATAAAAATTGCAAAAATTTTATTTTAGTAATGATCATCATTTTACACAAAATAAAATAAGCCAATCACAGGGAAAGCCCGCTATGTTAATCTTGATACGGTCTTGGTCAGGGTTGTGAAATTTCGCTGTACGAGAAGAATCTTCGTATGTATGTATGTATGTACATACGTACGACTGACTTCGTACCATTGAGTTCGTACAGTTTCGTTGTGGTCATACACCTGTACGAGGAAATTTTACATATGTATGTACGTACGAATGTACGAATGTACGATTTATCAGAAACGATTATTTTCTGCAGTGATAAAATATTACACTGTAAAATCTTATAACAATATCATTACAATTAACGGATTACTATTACCAGATGTTGTAACACTTGATTATCAAACTGATTGTTGTATTCTGTGGTACGTTATTATTATTATTATAGTAATAGTATAAGTATATTCCATGATTTTTATATATTTTTTTTTAAGAGTATATAATGAATAATAAAAAAATTACACATTCGTTAATTGTTATCAATTGTTGAAAACATAACCATATCTTTCAAGTGTATACAGTCATTAATTCCACAATTCTTTTATTCCAATGGTTAAAGCTTTGAAAAATTACATTGTTGAAACAAAACAAAAAAGTGGTTCTAGTAACAAATTATGTTACTGCAAAGCTTGGCTTTATTAAACTTGGTGAAAACAGCAATGAATTAAAAACAATAGTAGATAAAACTGAACAACATTTTAATGATTGTCAAAATTTTCATGTTGTGTATAGCCAAGAAGAAAAACTTAAAATACTAGCTCTTGGTAATAGTAATAATAATGATAATAATAACAATACAATAAAAAGAAAAAGTAAATTAATTTATTTAATTAATAATTTAATTAATTAATAATTTATTTTATCTAATTAATAATTTATTTAATTAATAATTTATTAATTAACAATTTATTTATTATTACATGAATTAATTTCTTTTCTATTAGGATCAAATTCTACTTCGTCTCAATCATCTAATTATGGTCCTTTAGATAATTTTGTTGCCAGACCTTTATCTAAAGCAGATAATGAAGTTTTTCATAAACTTATATTAAAAGCCACTATTTCTTGTGGTTTTCCATTATCTTGGGTGAATAATCAAGAAACAACAGAATTATTTAAATTTCTCAACCCACATATCAAACTACCAGATAGAAAAACCCTTTCCACTAAACTATTGAATGATGCAGTTAAAGAATATGATAATGTCATGTTAGAAAAATTAAGATTAGATCAAATAGGTGTCACACTTATGTTTGATGGATGGACGAATGTTAGGCAACAAGAATTAATGGGATGTGTTCTTTTGATGTCAGATGGAGAACCATGTGTATGACAAGCTATGGATATCAGTAGTGAATGTGATACAATGTTTGAAGTTATGACTAAAACTGAAGAATTAATTTCCAAATTAATAGATATGAAAATAACATTGTTATCAATAGTAACTGCACCTTCCTATAATGCATCAAGGCAAGTGCATATTAATTTTTTCTCATTGCCTCAAACTATCATTGAATATTTTATTGATTTATAATATAAATCTTTAATTATTAGGGCAAGATTACGACTTAAACATAGAAATATTGTTTTTTTACCATGTTTTGCCCATCAGGTGAATTTGTGTGTAGGGGAAATTTTTAAAATTTCATCTGAGTTCAAAAATACATCAGGCAATGCCTTAAAAGTGTCTGCCTATTTTAAAGATGCTAGACATAAATATTTCATTGGCCAACTTCATGATATTCAAAAAGAACTTTATAGCAAATATATTCAACTTGCACTTCCATGTAATACCAGGTGGAACAGTCAACATAATTGCTTTAAAAGTTTAATTGCTACTAAAAATGCTTTACGTGTAAGTTATTCTATTTATTTTTACAATCTTTCAAAATAGTAGTTTTGATTCAAATAAAATAATTGACAATTATTTTTTACATAGTCTTTGGCAATAAAATTTGATCCTTCTTCATCAACGAATACATTGAAAATTTCACATGAAATGTATTGTATTATAATGAATGAATCTTTTTGGGACGAACTTTTAAAATTGGATCAAATTTTGATTCCTTATTGCAATATTTTGAATAAACTACAAAGTGACAAGGCAAGATTATATGAAGTTTTACATTGTTATGCATATTTGTATCAATTTTGGAAAAGTTATTCTGATGAACTCTTGGCCAGTAGAATATTATCAAGATTGGAAAATAGATGGAGTTTATGGGAACAACCTCTTCTCATTCTTTCTTGGCTTCTTCATCCTGTTTACAAATCAAACTATTTCACTTCTGCTTCTATATCAAAAATAAGTTATTTACACATGGGGAAGTGGCTTGTTTATTATTATAAAGCATGGACTGGAAAAGAACCTAAAACTATTCTTAATGAATTTTATGATTTTTCACAAGGAAGAAAATATCCTTTTGATAATGCCTCCATTGATCAGTTTGAAAATAATATTCACAAATATTGGTGCTGGGTTCAGGATGCCTATCCAGAAATTGGAATTGTTGCAGCACCTATTTTTGGTATTTGTATTAATGCAGCTTCAGTAGAACGACTGTGGAGTAGTATGGGATTTTTTCATTCAAAAAATCGAAATAGATTGGAGGTAAAAATATAGTTTTATTTACATTAATATAGTAAATTATTTTCTTTTTAAAATTTGACTATTTCTTTTACTATATGTAGTTCACTAGAGTCTTAGAAATGGCAAAATTGAAGGCTGGCATTACATATAATCAACTTCTTCAACAAGAACTTTCTTTATCAAATAAAGAAATAAATTTAGAAGAACAGAATAGCATTGAAAGAGAAATGATATTGGAAGCTGAATCTTCAAATGTAAATACTAACTTAAATGAAGAAAGTTATTTGGGTGAACAAAATGATGAACAGGATAATAATAGTTTAGAAGCACAGTTTAATAATAATTTGGGTGAGTGGATAGAAATTCTTCAAGAAGAAGAAAATGAATCTCTAAATGAGCTTATAAACATTGAAGATGATGAATTTTATAACTTAGATGTTCAAAGTATTGATCATCCAGCAACAAGCTCCGATGGGAAATGGAAATTGGAAGTTATATTAAAAAACGATATACATTGTCCTTTTTAATTTTCAATTTATGAATTTTTTTTTTTGACGATATATATATATATATATATATATATAATGTGTATTACATTTATCAACCAATAAAAATTGTCATAAATCCCATGATATGTTCGTACAATGTATATACTAAAAAATTTTAAGCTCGTACGTACGTACTTGTATGAAGCATAGTGGACATTCGTTTTATCACATGTGACAAAATCGATCGTCGATCTTTTTTATATTGTGAAACTTGCTATTT